CAAACTGATAGAAAAACAATGGGAAGTTACAAGCTAATTGAGCTTTCTTTAATCCTTTAGAATCTTTCAGCAGAGGCGCCTAAGCACAGATAAGGGGAATGAGCCACTGAGAAGATGGAGAGAGACAGAACGTGATCAACTAATCTAAACTGTAATCTGTAGATAGGCTGCATGTCTAATGCAGCGGCTATTAATCACAAGACATGTTCTTTGTAACTAAGTGTTTTAATTTTTGCTTATTTTTAAAAGCATAGTTGTAATTCCAGCAGTAAGGAGATGGGGACAGGAGGAATCTCAAAAAGGAAAAGGTGAGGCATTTTCAGTGACACCAATTGGGTACACAGATTAACTTCTTTGGATTTAAACCACAAAGTATTATGTCTGCCTCCAACAAACTTTAATCTTAACCACTGAACTTGGTTTTCTGGGAGTTAATTACCTATCTTGAAAAATTAAATAGATTATGTTAACAGAATTTTTAAGACACAAGTCTTTTACCTCTGATATTACATGTTACTGTTATTTACCTAATGTTTCAGAGATAAAGAAAAGGAATCCAGACCCAATAAATACCTCTAACAGATGCCAGAATAAAAGATATTTTTATTAAGGATAGAGTGAAAATACATCATAACAAAAGAGAGATACAGAATTAAATCAACTGGAAATAATAATTGTGCTGTTTCACTTCCAATTATTATAAACAAAAGGAGGATTTTGACTGTGGTTCCTGACAAAAATGAGACGTAGGCCTGGAAAGAAAATCAGCAATCACTTGAATTTGCTTTAATTAAACTTTGATGGCTTCAAACTCTCCACTATGACAATAACTACCTATGGAGTAATATTTATAAGTAGGGAAAGATCTGACAACAAATACTTCCATCCAATCTTGGAGATGGGAGCTCTATAGAAATGATGGATGTTGCAATGGCAGGCCAATTTCTAAAGTATGTACCAGGTCAGACCTCCAGGACAATTTTTTTTTGAGTTAGAAACAAGATTGTTTAACATGCCAATCCCAGGTCCCTCTCCCTCCCCTCCTCCCCTACCACTCCTCCCCCAACTAAAACCCTACCTATCACATATCCTTTCTGCTCCAAAGGGAGGGTGAGGCCTTCCATAAGGTGTCATCAGAGTATCTCTTTGGGATAGGGCCTAGGCCCACCCAGTGTGTTTTGGCTCAGGGAGTATCCCTCTATGTGGAATGGGCTCCCAAAGTCCACACCTATGCTAGGGATAAGTACTGATCTACTACAGAAGGTCCTGTAGATTTCCGAGGTCTCCTCACTAAAATCCATGTTCCTGGGGTCTGCTCATCACTCGTCCTTCTCTGCAACTGGATTCCAGTTCAGTTCAGTGATTAGTTGTGGGTGTCTGCTTCTACTTCCACTAGCTGCTGGATGAAAGCTATAGGATGGTATATAAGTCAGTCATCAATCTCATTATCAGAAGAGGGCATTTTAGGTAGCCTCTCCTCTGTTGCTTAGATTGTTAGCTGGTGTCATCTTTGTGGACATTCAGCTATTTCCCTAGTGCCTGATTTCTCTGTAAACCTAAAATGTCTCCCTCTATTATAGTATCTCGGGGAGGTGTAAGGAGGACATGAGGGAGCAGAAAGGTTGAGTCGGGGGAAGAATAGAAGAAAACCAGGCCAATATTTTGATATTCATTATTTTACTCAATTTTCAAGTGGGAGCTATTATCTCAGCTAGTTTATGAACAAGAACACCAAAGCTGTGTAATTAAGTAGCTTGTCAGGCATACTCACCTAGAAATTGTCAATCTGAACCCAGGCTCTCTAGTTTTAGAGCCTACCCTACACTGAGATGCTGCCATCTAACCCAACTTATTATCTCAAGAGTCCAATAAGTCCCACAAAATTAAAGTCACATATTGTCTACAAGCAAATTTAACACCCACCTTCTGACATGGTCTCTCAACATTGTATGTGTTCACACACATTATTCATTTAATTAAAAGTTTAACTTCTGTTTGGACATGATATATAGTATCTGTTATATTTCTGAAGGTTTCAGTTTGCCTAATTATTCAAGGAAGACATTCCCTATTAGTTACTACCACACCTGGGTCCTATGAAATCAAAGTGAATAATAAGAATATATTTTAGATTAATTGTGTGCTTATATATGCATATTCATAGTAAAATTAAATAAGGAATCTGAAAATATGGAGAACTGAAGTTCAGGAAGAAATTTATTAACCCTCCTTTGAATTACAACAAAAGTGGGAAAGATATGTCCATCTGGTGTTCGGAGCAAGTAAAATGCATACAACACATAGTCCTAAAATGTTCAAAAGAAGGAAAAACCTAAAGGACTAGCTGGAATTTTTTAAAAAGAACTTCAGTGAATTTATTACAACAACATTCCAATACAGTCATATTTTTACATGCATTCTGTTAGCTCTCCTACAACCTAAAGCAGAGAAAAACAAGAACACACACACACACACACACACACACACACACACACACACACACACACACAAACACACAAGGGCTTGGGGTAGTGGCCATGAAAGGGTGAATGAACAAGACCTGTAAAAAATGAATACTTGCTGACTGAATCTAGCCAGACATTATAATCCATCACCGATCCCTAAAGGGCACTAATAATATGTAAATGTGTGAATTGGAAAACACAGTCAAGGCTGTTGATAAACTTGATAGGATAATCAGCACATGCTGACAGCCTAATGAAACTGATGAACTGATAGAGCAGCTTATCTCCCAGGCCATTTTTTTCCCTTGTCAAACAGAGGCTAATCAAAATGTATTAGGATTTAAAGCAAACACTCAGGGGATTTAACCCATTTGATTAGGAGGTGAATTCACTCTCGGAGAAAATTATAGTTTCCTGAACAACCGAAACTATAAAACCTGACCAGCTGACAGATCTTCACATAAAATCAAACAGAAGGCAGCCACCGTAATTACAGACAGAATCCACTATTGGAAATTATATTAGGGTCCTCCCCTGGAAAATTGTCAGGATGATTTTCAGAATCTGAGCAAAGACACTACCTCCTTCCATAATGGAAAATAATACAAAGAGCCAGACAATGGCTCCAGGGAATCAGTTATCTTCTTCTGCCTGGGCGAGCTCAGCTTTCAAGGAACCTAAAGAGAGGAAGATCCCAAGGTAGCAGCTCAATTCTCAACCCAATTTATTTACATAAAATAATTGAATGAATTTTCTGAAATCACGAACTGTTGAGAATACTAGCACTTCCCATTAGTAATAAAGAGACCACATGCAGTTTGTCACCAAAGAACTCAATACCTACACCAATTTCAAAGATACCTTATTTGACAATTGATTAAAATCTGGGAGCTAACGTTATGAATAAAATCAAAGTAAAATCACTCTCTATTCAGATAAACCTGGAGGAAGCACTCATTTTAGTATTTATTTTGTTTTGAAAAAATATCTGGCATTAAAATTTAAAGTCTAAGGAAAACACCCAATCTAGGTACATGTGATATTCTGGTGTGTGGTTCATTCACGTGGACAGACAGTAAAATGCTTGAGAGTAAAAGACACTGTTTTAATCCAATAAAAGCTTGAAGGCAAAAGTATATTTAATGAAGCTAATCTTTACCATGGAGGAATTATATCAAAGAAAGAGAAATATCTTCTGTCCCCTTTGATGTGGGCATTCAAACACTTTAATGCTGGGTAGACCAGTTGGAGGTGCATCTCCCAGAGACATGGAATGACATTATTAACCTTTTCTCAGTTTGATTTTCTTTTCGGTTTACTGAGAGCTATATTGTGCCTCATCCCATAACTGAACTATGTCTGCATTTCCTATCATTTAAGAAAAGAAAAGAATATGAGTTTTCTTGTTTTTTGTTTTTTTCCAAAAACACACATTCAAGTCATGGAGCCTTTGGGAATTTGTGTGAATGCACAACCAAGCAAGTAGTATTAAATTTCTTAAAATATATGATTTATAATAAATATTAGCCTGTATGTCACATAGCCTGATCCTAGTTATTTCATATATATGAGGGAGACCTGGCAATATCAAAGGATTTGATTAGATCTGATGCATAGTGGGTCTGAATTTGCAATTTCTGCTTTGGGGACATGGAAATACTTGATTGGAAGACAGAAGCAGTCCTTATGATCTCCAGTTGCTGGAAAGAGTCATGCTAACCCATCAACATGTCATCCAGACTACATTTTTCCAAGGTTCTCATGCTGTATAGGGAGTTTTACTTATGTCTACCATCACATAGCTGTGGCAACATTTCCTGATCAGTAATGGATTAATCTATTGGTGATAAGAGATTGATTAAAAGGGGGGGGGGGGGGGGGGGTAGAGGGGATCTGTATCCTAGATTTATGTACATTCTGATTGGTAAAGAGAATTAAATGGATTACTCAAGAAGATAAACAATTGAAATAACACTTTACCATGTTCACAGTCTCATTCCTATCTCAAATAATACTCTGAAAAAATAAAACAAAACAAAAAACACAGGGACCCAAGGCTTTATCCATGAAAGCAACACAAGATGCATCTTTTCCATGTACCATAGTTCATGCATCTCCACATCACTACAGGACGAGTACTGAAAACCTTCCAATAAAGTGAATAATATACTAAAAATTATTATAAATCTGGTAAATTCATTGAAATAACTATATATTACACACATACCTAAATAAAACCACAATTATACATATTATGAGATATTACAAGATACTACTTTCTCATTGCATTTAAGTTCAGTACTACTAGGTACTGAAATGATATTGAGAATCCTTTGCAAAAACTATGGAATTTGGCAAATGTGTTGGGCACGCTGTATTAGTTCATGTCTTTGCTCTGCCACAATCTGGACAACACACAGTGGGCACATTGCTCTGTGACTACTAATAAGATAGTAGAAATCGACCATGTAAACACAGGTTCTTCTTTCTCCACAAGCCCCTGACAATCAATTAAAACAGTAGAGTTGTACTTACCCATCATGTTATATAAGCTCTGGGGGGCAAACTGCCTTGGCATTTTCTGAATTGCTTCCTTATATACACTCAGGGCTTCCTAATTTAAGGAACAAAAAGAAACATAAATCATCATTAGAAGACAGGGATAGTCACTGAAAGTAAGATAATAACGCTTCTCCAAAGTTAAAACTACCCATTTCTGTTTCTTAATGGTTCACTAGAGGAAAATAATTGAGCCATCCTTTGCTATCACACTGCCTTAATTTCACGAGTGAAAACAGCCCAGTGAGGAATGCCACATAAAAATTTAACTTAACAAGGAACTGAATGTTGGCAATGCACTTTTAATATAAATTTTCCAGTTCACACAGACTACTCAATAAGAAGAGCTAAAAAACATTCATATTTGGAAGTAACACATTAGTCATCATCCCAAGTCTATGTTTCAACTCAAGCAACCGTGGGGTAGAAACAAAGTACCAGCAAGCAAATACATCTTCCTACTGTCAGGAGGCACTGGCGCCGTTAAATGAAATTGTTCTAGAGGGTGAATCTTCTTCCTCATGTTGAAGTTGGGTTTTTGTTTTTTATTTGGGTGTTTTGGGACAGGGTTTCTCTGTGTAAAAGCTCTGGAGCTTGCTTTGTAGACCAGGCTGCACTCAAACTCACAGAGATCCACCTTCCTCTGCCTCCCAAGTGCAGGGATTAAAGGCATGATGCCACCACCACCTAGCTCATATTGCAGTCTTAAGATAAATAAGAGTATGTGTATGGGATGTGAGGATGTCATGACAGATGACAGTTTAAGGGAGGAGGAAGACCAAGGATGCCATGTAGTCATGGTTTCGGTGAGTAAAAAGCTGGGGGGCGGGGGGATCATGTAATTTACTAGACAGTGTCTTGCTCAATACTCCCTCTACATTAAAAATGCATTATTTCTATTCAACTGCTATTAGAAGAATTACGGAAAATAGGCCACATTTAGATCAAGTTAAATTCTTAATATTCAGAGTACAAATAATGTCCCTTTTTAAAAATATAAAACATGGAATAAAAGGGTAGTGATTCTAGAAACTATATCTTGAATCAAAGAAATGGTGAGCTGGGTGTATGCTAACAGTCACTACATTTGTCAACAGACATTGAAGTATGACTATATTAACCTTTCAAAAGACTGTAGTGGACCCAGGAAGGTTAGACAACACTAAGGCTATCTCAGAACAGGAGGACAGGGCGGTGTGGACATACTTCATAATGTCCTTGCTCATGATAGAGTTTCCCCAGGTTGTAGAGACAGCTGGTTACAGAGCTCTTATGTGCATGAGGGTCCTTCAGGTTTTCATCTGGAATCTCAGAACACTTCAAGAATGTCCGTCGGGCTTCTTCTGTCTTCCCTTGGTTCATCAGAATAATGCCCGTATTTAAATATGCAGCTGAGAGGGGAAAACAAACAGAAAGTTGAAGTGATATACACGGTGGATAAAAGGTATATTAGCTTCATCTCTGTTCCAAGAGATATTTCTTATTTATTAAAAAATATTAAATATATATGGAACAGGCATAGGTGGCAATAGTGGTAGCAATAACCCCAAGTATTCCTAAAAAGACCCATAATTGTCATTTCAGTCAACTGAATTTCCAAGATTTTTGAGTTCAAAATCTAGTTATATGGAAGATTGAGCTATCAGAGTACTTGGCAAAAACAGGAAATGGCATTAAAGAATGAAATTCAGAGAGAGAGGATTGTTAACATTAACAAATATTTAGAAATAGGAATGTCACATATAGCTGCTTTCTCTGAAAGGTTCTAACACAGAGACAATTATTACAAATGAAAGGAGTCATTAGAAAGATTCCAAAACTTCAATCCTACTTACAAGCCAGGGTCGGCCTGCTCCCGATGGCCAGTTTATAATAATTCAATGCTTCAGTAAACCTGCTGTTCTCCTGGAGCAGCAACCCTCTGCATGAGGAGAAGAGAGATACTGAGAGGGCCTGCATGCCTAAACAGAAAACCACACATTTTCATTTTATATTCCAATGGTAAAAGTGGTCAACAGCCCAATAAAAATGCTGACCTGGCACCATAAAACTAAATTCTAAATGGAAGGAAATGATCCCTCAGGAGGGAAAATCCTACAGAGGTATCCGTGTAGCCTTGTTCCATGAGAAAGTATTAAGAAGGATTTTCAGAAAGACTTCTGTAACCAATAAACCTTCTCCTTGCCAGACTTCTTCCCCTTCCACTTGAATTGCTAGCCACCTGGATTTCTGTTGGGGGCACACATACTTTCTCATCACATCACCAAGGAAACCTTGGAAAGCAGGGATATATGTACAGAAACATGAGAGGCCTCCCTCACTGGTTGTTGCTTTGGTGATATTTGTTCACGACGCCCCAAGAGGCAAAAGGCTAAAAGCAGTCTGGTTCAACAGCAAACGCAGATCCAGATGCAGTAAAGAAACAATGAAAAGAACTGAAGGCCATCTATTTCTATGCTGCTTGGTTTTAGTCAAATACACTTGAAAATTTCAGAACACTTTGCAAATTCAGTCTACCGGGCAGAAACACATCTTCCTCTCCAGACCCTCAGACTCTAGGGACCTCTCTCTGAGGCTCCTTAAATAGTACCCAAATGTATTAATCAACCATTCCCAACCCCACCCTTATGACATCAATGAAACTCAAGTATAACCATTTCTATGAAAATAAGATGTCAGGAAACAGAACTAATTAGCCAGCCTCCCAATGGGCTTTGGTCTAGGCCCTTCTCTTGTAAACAGTAAGTATCTTACAGACATAAGGTATATCTAGTGGGCCAAGGGCTGCTGTTATAATGCCAACTGCAGACTCCACTTGCCAGCTTCCTTGGCTATTGGAAGGCGCGTAAACTGGAGGTCAGAGAAAAGAAAAAGCCATTGTCAAAACATGCTTTTGTTGAGTATTGCTATGGTTAGGATTGGCTGAGTGTCTGCCAAGGACTCATATTTAGGAATTTGGGACCTTCAGTGGAGTCCCTGCTGGACAGTGATGAGACCCTTGAAGGATGGGGCCTGGTGGGAAGAGGTTAATTGCTTTCCACTGCCTTACAAGTTGCTAAATGTGATCTCCCAGATTATGTTTTGAAGAGATCAGTTATTTAAAAATCAAAAAAAAAAAAATGACCAGCAACAACAACAAAGGCTGGCCTCCGTCGGGTTCTCTTATATTGGCTCCATGTTTCACCATGTGGACTACCCACATATGTGAACTGCCCACTCTACGACAGCCATTCAAACTGCTCACTGCATCTTCCTTCCTGGATTCCATCTTCCCTTAGGTTTGGCATTGTGTTTCCCCAGTCTTCTTCCATTTCCGAGACCATCCTATACAGAATGAAAAGCCTGGCTAGTTGGTCATTCATACACTGCTTTACGAGAGGTTGGTGTCTGCCTCTGCTCTTCATAAGCGAATGGTCTGCACACCATCATGCATCAATGTGGCTTATATAGAAGCACGATACCTCCACCCCTGAAGTAATGAATACTCTCCCAACACCAGATGCTTCTATCAGCTGACTGAGCCATCTAAGACCTAACTGGAATTCCCAAAGCCAACATATCTAAAAACTGAAAAGAGGAGTACAGAAGCTCCTGCTCAAGATCACACCAAAAGTGAGATAAATGAATTAAAACAAAAACAAAAGCCAACATTCTCTCCTTAGATTGACAGCATCATGAGCATCAGCTGCTAAAATCAGAAAGCTGACTGGCATGCCTGGTCCCTCATTGCTTTTCTCAGTTACACACTTTGTAAAATCTCCAGAGCCATTGATCCTTATAGGTTCCGGCTCTTCACTTGTCCCTGAAGGTTCATCTTTATAACTCTGTCAGAACCCTTTTTATCTTTTCTACCACCCAAGTAACTGAAAAGGCCCATTAATTAGTCTCTACATAATTACCTTTCTAAAGGGCAAATATGCTATTAGGATAGATGGAGGGAATGTGTCGGGATATGTATGGATCTGACTCCGTGTCTAAAGTCAACATGCCTACAGACTGATGTACTTGGCCTCTTGGGATCAGCTATGCTGATGCATTATATTCTGTCAGTTTCCAATTCATAAAATATACACAGAGCAGAGAATGGCATGCAGTGTGAAAATAAAACCTCCCCAATCCTGCCCTGTGTCATAAAGGTAATAATGAGTGACTTCAAGTCAGATAGCCACCGTGAGTGATTAGCACGGAATAAGGATTTCACTGATTCCTTTACCTTGCTATGAATTCTGCATAAAGTAAGCAAGATTCAGATGTACACAGTGTTCTAAGATAATGAACATGAAAACAAGTGACATAAAAATTACTTCATTGGAAGGCAGTCTGATAACATGTCCTAATCAAGAATGGGAAAGGGCAGCTACAGGTGACATCATTAAAGGCTAGTGAGCACAGACACTCACATATTAAAAACAATGTCATCAGACTGATGTTACAAAGGAAGAAACAAGAGTCTAGGAATTAACAAACTAACTGGGGGGAAATTTGATCCTTAGGCAAGAAGATTTCTATTATCTATCTATCTATCTATCTATCTATCTATCTATCTACTATCTATCTATCTATCTATCTATCTGTCATCTCTCTATTTACCCATCAATCTATCATTTACTTATCAAATTATCTATGATTACCTATCATCTATCTATTATCTACCCATAATCTACCATCTATCTGTCTACCATTTATCTCCCTCTATATACCTATCTATTATCTACCATCTAATACCTATCATCTATCTTTTTATCTATCTCTATCTATTTATATCCATCCATCCATCTATCAACCCATCCATCTATCTATCTGAGACAGGCTCTCACTATGTAGCTCTGGCTGGCCTGGAACTCACTATGTAGACCCGACTGACCCAGCACTCTCAGAGATCTGCCTGCCTCTGCTTCCTAACTGCTAGTATTAAAGGTATGCAACCACTACACCCAACTGGATAAGACATAATTTAAGTAACATACAAAGGTCTGTGTATATAGTGACAAGTAGATCAAAATGCAAGCCTAGCAGTCTGCAAATAATTTAAGACTTGGATTATGCTTGATTTTTCTCACCAAAGTCTGTTCAAATTGGTGACCCAGAATGTTTACATACTGGCCATGACAAGAAATTCTTCTAGCTTCTAAATACATTAAAAAGAATAGATTTTAATATATGACGATTTAAGGGGTATTTTACTTCTCTCATTTCTCACGTTCTTCCATTCTCTTAGAACAGTCACTCAAATAAGACTAGTAATTACACAACCTGGAGAAGGAGAAAAAACAACTGTTTCAGTCAAAGAAAATGCACACGAATGTTTGTTACTAGTTCTAACACCTAAATTCTACAAAATTACTTGACATCACACACAGATACACACACACCAGCCGAAATGCCATAGTAGTAAAAGATTGTTCCTTCTTAAGACATGGAGGCTTTTGGTGGTGGTGGTTACTGATAATTCTAAGAATTACCAATGTGTGTACCGAATTTCTTCCAGGAGAAACGTTTATCCATCTTTTCCTCTAGTGTCCTCAAACAGCTTTTCTTCTAAAATGCCACTTAAAAAATAATCACACGAGTAATGTAACTTGATTAATGAAAACCAGTCATAAGAGTAACTACAGTGGATTGGACAGAGTTAAATGCACAATTAAATATAAGTGGCACACAAATCCCTAGTTGGCCCTAAAGACTGACAGAGACAGAAGGAAACATTTATTTAGCACAGTGGTTAAACTAAGGGTGACTTTTCCATTCCAGGGAGTATTTGGCACTGGCTAGAGACTAAAAAGCATGGTTGTCAAAATAGGGGTGCTGGACACTGAAATCAACTGAGTAGCAAGCAGGGGTGTTGGCCACTGGCATCAACTGGGTAGTGGATGGGAATGCTTGTACCATTCACTTACCATGAGAAAAGGCAAGACTGCCTCCCCAGCACAGAAACTGAGGAGCCACAGTTATTTTTTAAGGGTAAGGGACTGCAACACATTTCTTTGTTAATAAAGCTTCTTTGCATACCTATCTGCCATACATACTGCTATAAAGAAAACATAAAATATAGAAAGGAAAATACAAGGATTTTTCAGGAAAATACAACCTATCATTGTTCTTGATGTTTTTATGAGGAAGAGAAAATTATTTTAAAAATTGAAAAAAAAAAAGCATGTCCTGGCCACATCTGACAGTACATGTGAACAAATTGTCAGTGTCTATCTATAATTAAGCTGACTTGTAGACACACATGCCAAATTACCCACAGTGCATGCAAGTATCATATCACTACCATCCATAAATACATGTAGCCTAGTTAATCTTTGATGTTAGTTCAGGATTTCTCTTGGGTACGTAAAGCTATGGAAGCCCAAGACCTTTAACTTACTCACATTCTCCCATTTGTATATAGTATTTGTAATACCTAACATGATATAAATGTAAATAGTTGTTGTACTGAATTTCCTAAGAATAACAAAAAAAATATCTGTCCAAAGCCAGGGATGGTGGCAAACACTTTCCATCTCAACACTCAAGAAGGAGAGAAGAAGGATCTGGAGTTCAAGGCTAGCCTCACCTACACAAAGAGTCAAGGCTGCCCTGATCTATATGACAGCCAGTGTTAAATGCTGGAGTTCAGTATTGTTGTGTCTTTTTCTGAATGATTTTATCTAGTGGTTGGATGAAGAAGGAATACTCAGGAATACTTAGTGCTGGTTACGGTATACGCCTGCTATAAACTGAACTTTACAATTTTGAAGATACCATTGTTTGAAATCACAGTATTCTAGAAACTTGATTAAGGAAAGTCAATCCAAGTTTCGAGAATTCCAAAGTAAAACAAATGAAAAAAAAAATAGCTCAAAGAAGAGATAGCTCTGTAAGGAAAGGCACTTAGAGAAAGTCGAAGGAGTTCGCTTGATACCAGGGGGACTCACA